ATGGCCTGTACAAACAAAATGCATTTCAAATATATCCCCGTCTGGCTTAAAGAAGAAAAATATACTGCGAAGATGAATACAAACAAAACAATATTCAAGGTTCATGTCAGTAACCCTGCAACCATGCCAAATCGGCCGGTAAAATAAGAACACCAAAAAAAATGTATTGCCACAAGCATGACTTCAAAATAAATTGCATACTAACCAGAGAAAATTAAAAGATTTGGATATCGTATCCACACAGGTTTTAGGATGGGGTAACTAACACTGCTAGGATTCTTTAATGTAAGGATAAAACTGATTTGGATTAAAGAAAAATAATTTTATAAAGAGGGTACTTAAATCATAACATAACTATTAATTATATTTTAAGTATAAAAGAATATGTACCAAGTTCTATACCATATATATCCTATATACCATACACATTAACACAAACAGCTTTTGTGTCAGAATCGAGAAAAATCATCATTCCACAAGCTGCAGAAATCAATAGTTGGACAAAAAGTTCTCATTTTTAAAATCTTGTGTTAGTAGATCAAATGTTAAGTGAAATGAATTAATAATAGTTTGAAAAAATTTAAGCAGGCTCACTTCTCAGTTAGGGCTCTTGAGTGCAATAATGCGCATACAATATAAAATCTAAAATATTAAAAAAATAGTAAAAAATCAAGTAAAAATCAAAAATAAAAAAAAATATTTTTAGTTCTTAAACTGGCATCTGCCACATGCAACCATAGCCACCGTGACAGCATAGTGAACACACTTCTCGTACTGGAGTTGAGTCATGCATGTCTACGAGTATCTACACTCAGACTTGGTAACTTTAATTTTATGCCTTTTATTTTTTTTATACACGTTCGCATTCGAATAAAAACGTTTCTGGTTAACTTTTTATTTGCCAAGACAGACCATGTGTGCTTTTTAATGGTTTTCCTGGTAAACAGAAGTAGAAGTTTATATGAACAATGCAATCGAAGACCCTGGCTGAAACTATAAGTTAAAAAATAAAAAGTAAAGTGCGAGAATGTGGAAGTGTTGGCTAGTGTTGACTGATATCTACTTAGATACTCACACTATACAGGGTGCAAATGTTGATTATTTAAAATACATATATATCCGTAACATAATTACATTATATGCAGTTGTCTGAAACTTATTACTATAAATTCTTACACAATATTTTTTGTTATGTGTCTGTGGCTAATATTAAATTTTCATATTATGCTGAAATTATCACTGATTAAACATATATTAAGCAATAAATAAAAAAAACTGAAAACATCTTAGAAAAAACCTCACACATGTTTTTAGACAGCAACAAGGAAATAAATTATAGAATAAAATTATTACTTTTATACGTATCTTTCTCTAGCATATCTTCTGTGAATAATTAGATACATGAAAGCTTTTGTTTTTAAATACTTAACTTAGAAAATATAAATTTGTGTTGTAATTCAATTTTGAATCGTATATAGCTTCATGAAATAGTGATTACTTCAAGTTTATTCCTTTTAGTAGTTGTTGCAGTAATAAATTACATAAACTTCTGGCAGATGTTCAGTAAACAGACAATGAAAATAAAGCATAAATTTCTACAATATTTACTGTAACAATAACAATTTTATGTTTAAAAACTATTTATAAACGAATGCGCAGATAAACTAACCAGGAAAGGAGCGGTCAGACCGATGGTGGGGCCGAAACCTTTCTGTGGATTAGTACCCAATACACTCCTCCTTCTTATAAAAAAGGAGAAGAACCAGAACAAAAATAATTACTGGAATCTAAATTACTTATTGGTACTTATAACAATAGTATATACCAGTATTGTATAGACTTATCAAAAGAAAAACTTAGAATTATCACAGAAATCAAACAGGACACTGTAAACTGAAATACCACCTTATGAGACTGTGCTGTTAGAATACCCTGCACTAATGCACATACGGAAAAAACTCTTGGGAATGTATACCCTTATGGAAGAGGTAATTAAACGCTGTAAAGCAGGTTCTATTCTACTATTTATTGAAGCAACAGGGCTTGGAGCCATACTCAGAAGAGGGCACAATAGACCCGACAATCGCAGTGCCATATCCAATATCAATATTAATATAGACCAGATTCCTCTGTGCTTAGGCAGTTTATTTTGTTTATTTGATTATTTATTCGTTCAATCTATGGAATTGCCACAGACTTACATACGTATACATATATATACATGCATTTTATGACTTCACATTTCTTTTCTCAACACACTTTAAGGATAGCTTGATCCTGTTTTTCATATTTTTTCACTATTAATCTGTGTTTAGAACACTTTCAAATACAAATATATTTGGCTGTGAAAAAAAAACTTTATGGACGTAGAAGCCAATTAAAAATCTTGTGTTGATATGCTGAAGAGCTCTGAATCCAGACGTAATAACTCGGCGTCTATTCATTTAAAAATATTAAGCAATTTTAACAACATATCAATAAAGAATTTATTTTACAGACGTATATACCATAATTGTCAACAACTCAGATACTTTAACTCCACATTATACGTAATATTTTATACGTAATATTTTTTTGAAATTACGTTTTATAAGTCCCTATAGAACTGTGAAAGTCTCTTTTTATTTTTCCTTTATTAAATAAATATTTATGTTGTCGTTTATTGCGTATAGTCGTTTGCGATAGCCGGCACTTTGACTTTTGCTTATTTTAATAAGCTTGTGGTATGCAGTTAAGGACAGTTTTATATGTATGTTATATGAATTAAGTTGGCAATTAGCTTTTAGTGTGACATTCTCAAATTTATTACTTTAGTAAAGAAGTTAAGTAATTCTTTTTATTTTACTTTTTTGTATTTTAATATTTGCTACTGTTTTTCGTTTGCATTTATTTTTCCACTTTTATTATATCTTTCTCAGAAGGTTCTTTCATATTTTAATACTTTTTCAATTGTTTTCATTTATATAACTATAACGTAGATTTCAACAGCCATCGGACCATATATCGTAATTTATTTTTATATATTTAGTACTATATTTTTTGATCATTACCAAGCTAAAGTTGTTTGTTTAACACATAAAAATAGAAAAAATTACACTTATTAATTTGTGTTGAATACATTAATTTTTATAAAAAATATTTACAGTACAAATATTTCGGTCTACTTCGGTCTACCATGTTCAGTGTTCAATAATTTAGTATTTTATTATTTTTACTTTCATTCTGGCTAACTTCTCCATATCAATCAATAGATTTATTCTAGTTCAATTCCTTCAACTTCATCATCAAACGTTCGAGATTGTGATAAATTATCTATTTTTAATAAAGATAAGTTAGTTTAGATAAGTTTATTGTATTATTTTTCACGTGTTAAACACTCATTTTCTTTATCTTACTATCCATTTGTTTCCTAATTCCAGCAAAAAGAAAAACTACCCAATTTTCTTAAGATCTATAGTTCACTTTTTAATTTCGTTCAATGACATATATTATATCAGAGATAACTTATACAACTTGTAAAAGTTCTATAAGTATAACTTTCAGTTCGATTTTTCCGAATCGTCTAGAATTATCTCACAATCTCTTCTATTAACCCAACAAGATAGGAACAAGAACATTAATTAGTCAGTAATGAAGCCAACATTTGATTTTTTCCAGGAATAATTTTCGCAGCATAATTTGACAAAATTAGTTGTTGTTCTTATTTTTGACCTGCTGTTTTTTTGATAAGATACTCCAATAAAACGCCTTGAAAGTTTTGTATAAAAGTTGGTAAAAAAAGTCTAAGCCTGTGGCAAGAAGTACATAACCAAAGAGCAGAACACTAAATCAGAGTCGTAAAAGTTCGCATGACTTGATTTGTTTGCGTCCATGACAAACATTCTTGCCTGCTTTGTTATGATTTCGGATTTCCAAGAAACTCTAAAGTGGAAGCAGCTTTGACGATGAATGATGCAGGCTAGTTTTTTCCATCGAAGGGCAAAAACAAGGAAAAACAGAGATACAAATAATTTTATTTATGCGTCATGAATTGATTGCCATGCTTATACCGAAAAGAAATATACAGATACTTTTAAATGTACAAATAGAGATGTTTGTTTGAGTGTGTTCTTGGCTTTGTGAATAGTATCGGTAACTCACGTATTAACGGACTATTTCACATTGATGATGGCAGAGCTGAGTTATTTATTTATTCAATCAACTTTAATGTTGGCTATTTAGCTGTAAAATATTTCTAGAGAACTGATTTAGATTTTTTATAATTTTTTTCTTAAATTCTGTATGTCACTTTAAGCTGTAAATTTCTATATTAAATCTTATTTGACAGTTTAGTGCTATTGTTCTGAGATTATAGCAAAATTTCTGTAAAATAATTTTATACAACAATTTGTTTGTCTATCATACGAAAGCAGTTTAAAGGAAATAAATATAGAATTCATGTTTGCAACTTGGTTTTGTATATTTTTTTAACAGTGTAGTAGATTTTATCTAGTAACTGTAAAATTAAATGTTGTTGATTTGAACACGTACGAATTATTTTAATTATTGAGTAAAATAATTTATTTATATATCGTTGATGTCGAAGTAATATAAACAAACAAAAACTGAAATCAATAAAATAAGTTTAGAGGCATATGTTATACAAAGTGCTCATAAAATCAATCAAAACTTTTTATAAAATTAAATTAAAAATTAAATAAAATTAAATTAAAGAATATTCACCTAAATATTCATATTTATTCACCTAAAGGCACATTATAAACTTTCTGCCCCAAACGAGCCGATATTGTTTGCTAATATTTCTTGAAACTCTATTAAACTTGCAGCCAAGTTTGATATTCAGAATCTTATGTTTATATACGAGTATGCTACATTGGAACATAGTAACGACTAAAATTGATTTATCACATCACTACATTTCAGTCATAAATGTCACCTAATTTACTATTATATTTTTGCTAAGAATATCAACTTTATTAATCAATCTTTGTTACTTTTAGCTTCATCATCAACTACATCGTCCACATCAGCGCCTATCACAACTACACCAGCAACACTTGCAGACACAACATTGCCGGTACTACATGAAAGTGATGCCACAAACGCAACATCAACAACCAAGACAATTGATACAACAGTCGTTGCATCATCACTGCCTATAACTACGATTGAACCCATAACGACCACAGAACCCACAACAACGCCTACAATTTTTGTCAGTAACAACGAAAAAGAAACGGAAAAGCAAACGCAAAAAATTGCAACCACAACAGAAAATGAAATAAAAGAGACAACAATAAAAGCATTACTTGATCATGCAACCCACACGCCTACAGAATCTGAAACAACTGAACACGCGCCACATCAAACTTCAGATGTGGAACATATACTCTATTTAGCCACGACTCATAAACCAGCAGAAGAAGTCGTAAAAGAAGAAAAATCTACAGAAAATATTATATCTACAACAGTGAATGATATATTCGCAGAAGATGAAAAGGAAAAATCCATTAAGCCGGTCTTCGTAGTGGGCGCAAACTCAGCACCCACAAAATCAGAAAATGAAACTGAGACAATAGCAACGACAACTACAACCACAACAACTGAAAAAACGCATGAACATCATCCGACCGAAGTTTTACTCAATCATATATCTAGTAACACTGATGAAGATGACAAGGATTTGAATAATTTCAGGCACCCTGCAACTCTCATTACAGCTAGTAACAGCGATGAAATGTTAAAAGAAAATGAAAGTACCGATAATGAACAGGAAAAAATAAAAAGCTTTGAAGTTGATGGTTTCGTAAATGCAGAACATGAGGATCCTTATCATGCGCATATATTATCGGAAAATCATGATCGTTTAGCAGAGCATGCAGATTATCAAATGTTGTCTAGCACAGAAGATGCAATGGACACAACAATTTCTAGTACCACGACTACCACAACAGCTGCACCTACTAAGAGCACCGATAGCTCAGATAAAATTGTTATCAGTGAAGAAAATAAAGCAACCGCAGTGCCATTTGTGCCAATTCAAGAAAAAACTGAAGATACATCATCTACTTCAGGCGAAAATAATGAAACACGCGGGCGTTCTATGAACATACCAACTCATGAACAGAACGAAGAAAATGAAACCATTGTCACAACAACACCATCTAGTGGGCCAATCATAACAATAGTGGAAGGTCAGCATACAAATCAACAACATGAACATGATAATAATGTGGAAACAACTACAACAACTACTGAAAATCAAATGCATGCTTATATGCCGATATTTGCCGGTGAAGGCCGTTCTGTTGGCGGTGAAATTTCTGCAGAAGATGAGAATGCACACTTAAATTATCAATTCAATTTTGTTACAACGCAACGTAATATGAATGAGGATGATAGCAATAAGGAGAAACAGGAAGTATTACAAAAAAGTGCTGCTATTAAGGATATAAGTGATGTAAGCATGGATGATGATGAACGCATGGGTATGGTACACGTACACCATCACGAAGAGGAGCCACAAGTAAAAATAACCGAAGTTACAGTTAATAGTGAAGGTGTTAGCCGCGAATGTATGTCTGATGGTAAAAGCTATAAGGTAAGTCCAAAGTTTAAGATATTACGATATATGATTCTACATTATATTCTGATTAAAGAATATTATTATGTTGAAACTATTTAAACCAGTGCACTTGAGCACTTTTACTCTTTATCAACTTAAGGTATCTTCAAAACCCCACTTTACGCCTTGACTAGATTATTGTTTATCACTTCATCAGACTAAGCAACAATTGACCTCAGACTTGCATACCTCTCCGAGGAGCCTGTAATCATTTTGAGATTCGACAACGCGGTTTTGGTAAATCTGTAAGTTTTAGTAAATAATTTCAATGCTCTATCCTTTATAAATTTTTTTATCGGATCAATCTTGAGGTCTCTGAGGATGTCATTTGTTCTAATATACCGTGGTACCTTGAAAAGTCTTCTCAGAGCCTGGCTTTGTTTAATTTCTAGCTGGCGAATAGTAGTGTTTGAAGCTTTGCTAAATGCTACACATACATATAGAAGTGACGGACGAATTGTTTGGTTATATATCAGCTTCCTGTTCTTAGCATTGAGATTATCATTTCTGAATAGCGATTGGACGTGATGAAGAATTTTTGGCACAGCTAATTCTTTTCAGTTAAACATGTTTAAGCGATGTGATTCGTTTGTACAATATGTTGCTGAGATATTTAACGCTGTCCTCCCAGTTTATTACCATATCTCCCACTCTCACTCTCGACGGGTTCTGTCTCCACTTACGCGTAACAAACAGAGCCTTAGTTTTTTCATTATTGATTTTTTTTTTCATTTCTAGAAATACTCCAGGATGGGGTTTATATGCTCTTGAAATGTGTTGGTTATGTAGATGTGTAACGTTTAGCAAAGCCTAAAACACTACTATTCGCCAGCTAGAAATTGCAGAAAGCCAGGCTCTGAGAAGACTTTTCAAGGTACCATGGTACATTAGGACATGTCATTTGTCCTCAGGGACCTCAAGATTGATCCGATCAAAAAATACTAAAAATACGAAAAAAAAATGAAATTATTTATGAAAATTACAGACTTACCAATACGCCTTAATCCAGTCAAGGCGTATAGAGGGGTTTTGAAGAAACCTCGTAGTTAATAGAGAGTAAAAGTGCTCAAGTGCACTGATTCAACTAGCTGTAACATAATAATAACTTTTAAAAATTATTTAAAAACTAAATGTAGAGTACTTGAATAATTGTATATATATGTATATAATGTATATAAAAACTATACATTGCCGATTAAGAACCTATAATCATTTAACGCCTTAAACTCTGTGTTAAACATTTTAAGTAATGTAAACACTTTTACAAATTCTATTTCTAAACACTGATAAGATGTTCCACTTTGTTAGCTTGAAATTATTACCTAATAACTATACAATAAATATTTTAATTAGTTTTTACACTTGCAGATACATGAATCTTATTCAAGTTTATATGTAGTAAAATCCGATTTATAAATAACTTACACACATACCTACAATTATGTGTACTTTAATATAAACGCTTTTCTATTACGAAATGAAAATTTACTATAATTAATTAATTGTTGTTTATTTATTTTTTAACATTGAAATATATGGATTCCTGAAGACTAGAAAAGATAGAATTGCTGTTTTAGACAAGAAGCTTTTTGTTAACATTAATTGATTTTTGAACAGATTTCCATAAATTATAATACTGCAACGGCTTTATTGTGATATCTATTAAAAACGTGATATAAAAATAATTTTTTTTTTACAATACATATGATATTTGGGCTTATACAGAGTATGTATTTGATGTGATAATCATTGTAAAAATACAATGATTATTTAACAAAAACATTTGTTTTGAGAAACCTTACATATTTTTAAAAAAATATATTTTTTATGTGTCGATGTCTATAAAAACATCGAGAGTTCATTATATATAATATTTGAAATAATTTTAAACCCATTAAAGCAAAGGCTAAAGACCATCATAATAGAGTGACCTTTTGTCACGAAAAACTTACGAAAATAAAAAAGTTTTTAAAAAACAAAAATGTTGAAATATCAATTTCTGATTTAATAGATAATACGATCTCTCTTCGGAAATCATAAGTTGATATATAAAAAATAAATGATTATCTGTAAACAACTATAAAAAAAAACTTAAAAATTCACAACGGTTTATAATTTTGCAAAAAATTCTGCTACAGATCTGAACTCACTATTAATTATCTACTAAATAATACTGTTTTACTTATTTTCAAACTATGAAATCTATATTTAACTGTTTAGGGATATGCTCAGTATAAAGAAGTAGATGCGCATTAATATACCAAATATACGATAGCATATCAAAACAATACGATTGCCACCTGTGATTACTCCATTTTAAGCTCTGACCTTAGAAAGCAATATCGAAGACAACCATTTCTACTCGTTAGACTCGCTAGAAATCCTAGAAAAATCAAATATTTAGGTCATTGCTAGATGTTTTGGAATGGGAGTTGCTAAATATTATAAATATTTTCTAATGATACAGAGGACATCAAAATATCGTTAATTTTTCTAAGAATGCATTAGCGCACAGAGTGCAAATCAGTGAAGAGTTTAATTGATATAATATATATACGAGTAAGAACATTAACGAATCTTTGACTGGTGACAAAATAGGTCATAGTTTACTTTATTTATTCTCTTTTAGTTAGATTTAGATTTCATTGTATTCATTTTAGGAATAGTATTGCTTTTTTAGATTTATTTAGAATTAATGTATATGAAAGCTGTGAGCTTTAAATGAACTCTACAATAGACTATGAATAAGATTAATATTGTATTAAATTGTTGAAGAATGTTATATTTATATTGTTTAAGCACAAGAAACTGCAGCTCTTGTAAAAACAACTTACAAACTCTGATTCTATAGAGAAGCTAATCAAATTCCAATAACAAAAAATTGATAGAAAAAAATATTACTAGACTTTAAAAATATAAATTCAATTAATAATCTTCATTTATTAAGTCAAACTTTAAAAATTGTATAAATTATTTTTAACTCCAAAAAAAACTCATATTGTTTATACATTTACTATCATTGTATGTAAAAGCAATATATAATGTAAAGAACTTACATCTCAGGTTGTAATATATGCAAAAAAAATAATAACTTAAATAGATTGAAGTTATGTAAAACATAAATTTAGCTATAATATAGTATATAGTATAATGCTTAACTCCCTGCATATGAAACTAATTTCAACTAATTACAACTTTTTACACCTATGTAACCTTACATTAAGACTGAAAAGTTTTCGGAAATTCTCATTTAAAATTCGCGCGCTGTATATTTTTCGATATTTTAAGTTTATGTAGTTTGGCAGCACTGTCCTTAATTACTATGCCAAAAATGAGCGCGATCTGTCAGACAGTTCGTTTACGGCAGCTGTTGAAACCAGTTCCACCTCAGTAGTGCGTTGCGAAATGTCTTCGACGGTCGTACGACCGTCCTGAAAGGCTTTGTACCACTCATAAACTTGAGTTTTCGATAAAACTGATTCCCCATAAGCCTTTTGTAGCATTCGCAACGATTCTGCACACGAAATTTCGTTCGAAACACAAAATTTGATGCAAACTCTTTGTTCAATATTTTTTTCCATTGTTTTTTTCGCAACGCACTACTGAGGTGAACTGGTTTCAACAGCTGCCGTAAACGAACTGTCTGACAGATCGCGCTCATTTTTGGCATAGTAATTGTCCTTACATTGCTGCCAAACTACATAAACTTAAAATATCGAAAAATATACAGCGCGCGAATTTTAAATGAGAATTTCCGAAAACTTTTCGGTCTTAATGTATATTCGTATAACCGAGCAGTCATAAAATTTTCATAATTATTGCTTTTTTTCCATATACCAGACAAACACGCTTCAATGAAAGACTATTATAGAAAATTTTTTGCAATTTTTGCGTAGGTAGCCTACAAATGCACAAAATAATATTTTAATTAATTTTTATTTTAAATATTTTTAAATTACTTTATTGCTTTAGTCTTAGTACGCGCCAAACACTCAGCTTGAATTGGAGGTTCACTTAAACTAGCGAGTTTAAAACATTTTGGCTAATACCGACAGGCCAATACTTAACGATATAAAATAAAAAAATATATATTATTCATAAAAATTTATTACTTATTATTATTATTATTTATTATTACTATTATTTATTTATAAAAACGTAAAAATAATGGAAGCTTAAAATATCTTCAACATCGTACATATATCACACAGCATATAAATTACCCCACTAAATTGAATTCATATCAGTTACGAAGTCAACCCCTTCACTTCACTCTTTTATAAATTGATTATAAAAAATTAGAAATAACATATATTTTTGAAGAGGTCCTACTTTATATGACGTATACTGAATATTATCACTGTACATTACGATACGACAGTATCAAGTACTGTTCCTAAATAACAGTTGTATGTAGCGATACTAGATATACATTTATAAATATATAAAAAAAATGAATAGTGTTGCCCTAAAGTCTTATTTCAAAGAATAGAATCGTCTGACATACAACATTTTCCCTTCTGTACTGAAGGAGAATGAAACACGAAACCTTTCTCTATTAGGTATCTTAAAGCGAGAGCCAATTCGGAAGTACCCGAATTTTTATCAGCTATTGGACGCAGCATTAAACCAAACTTCTTCCTTATTGAAGTGTTGAGCATAGTAAACCCGTTAAAATGTTTATCAAATCCTGATAACGTATTTCACATTGATTAAGTGCGTTATATATTGTTTTCTGTTTAATGAGGACCAGCTGTTTAAACATTGCTTAAACATTAAAAGAATTCATATGTAGGTATAGAAAAGATTATATTGTTATATATTATGAATCTGTTATATTATATAGTCTTTAAGAGTCATCAAATCAGTTTTATAAATTTTTGTTGAGAGAATAGTGGTCTGTTATACTTTTCTCCCAATTATTTCCCTATTCTCCCTACACCGTATTGTAAATAGGTGTAAGGCGTGTTAAGAGA